ATAAAGAAGTTTATTTTTACCAATTCTGTGTTTGTAAAGTCATTGCACAGTTAGAAGTGGGGCTATGCAAAATAGATAGGATATTTTTTATTTTACAATACATAGTATGTAGGATTAAGAGAAGCTAATAAACTGATGAATGGATAGTTTAGAATGCACGATGGATGTTGTAGTCAAAAAAAGTAGTTATCATCGATTTTGCAGTGGTTGGTATTTTGAAGAAAAGCATAAGTAGTTTGAAGAAGAAGTAAAAAGGGCCAAAGTGTAATAGTCATGAGCTAGGATAAGCTTAGTGCTACCTCTTTGTTTCTTTGTTTTCTTATAGAAGAAGAGTAATGGATAGAATTTGAATAATATGGAGTGAAATTTTGGAATAGAAGAAAGATTTGATTTAAATATTATCAAATGAAAAAGTAAATTTATTGTATGCTGAATTATTAGTAGAAGATTAAAAAGTTGAGGATTAAGGATGTTTATAAAGTATGGATATAATTGGAAGAATTATAATACATTGAATATTGAGATTCAAGAAGAAGTTTATAGAGTGTAGAATTGTGTGAAGCAGATTACTAGAAATGAAAATTAGTTTTGGAAAATTTCAGTGATTGGATTATGGAATGTTTTATGCAGTCTTTTAAGATAGTGTAGTATAACCTATTGTTGTCATAAGTTTAGAAAGGAGAAGAAACAATAAATGCTTAAGATAGAATTATTGATTGTAATATTTTCTTTGATAGAATGTAAAAGACATATAGTATTTTTAGGTGTTTCAGTTGATCAGGAGACACTTGATTGTATAACTCTAATGTGAAAACTCATGCAGATAGTCTTTCCTTATATTCGAATTCCTTTATATAGATTTATTCCAATTGGATTAGAGTAGAGTAAGTAAAATGACAATCACATATATGAAGCATAATTTTTTATTAAAAAATAATATATACATTATACATACATATATTTAAAGACTTAAGCTATAAATATATACCAAATTGCTATACACACATCTAATATATCTATATACACATTCAAGGCCTCTAATTAGCTATTTTAGATTCTCTCTTTCTTTGTCTTAATTCAAGTCTAAAACCTCTTCACCCTCTTCTTTTTCTTAATAGGAGTTCTAATTTTTTCTTTTCTATTTGAAGAAATCAAAGAAAAAGTTTAAAATTCATATTGGAACAAAAAAAAGATAGAAGAGAGGACCAGGATTCTTGCCACAACAAAGAAAAAAAGAAGGAGGTTTAGGACCTATGTCAAGACAAGAAAAGAAAAGGTCTAGAGTAATCAATTAGAGGCCTTAGGTATCTATATAAACATAATAGATGTGTATATATTAATTTAAAGTGTGTTTTATGAACTAAAATAAATCTTTATTAGTTGGAAGTTTATTCTAATTTGTAACCAATGAATTAACTATGTAAATTCTAAAATTTGTAGTTCTTATTTAAATTCTAATCAATTCATTCTTAATCTCTTTAAATCATCCAAGTAGCCAAGCAAAATTTTAACCACAAATTCACATTTACAATGATAAATCACTCAAAAAGATTCATGTATTTAAAATTTTATTATTATTATTATTATATTTTATTTTATTATTTTATATTTATTTTAAATTATTATTCATTCATCCAAAAAAGAGAATAGATATTTATTCTAAACTAATATAGTATTAAAACAAGAATGGCTATTGCCAAAGAAAAAAAGACTATAAAGTCTTGAAATAAGATCAAGGACTAAAAAGACATTAATAAAATTAAAAAAGACTTCATTCTTACCTCCATATATTTATCAACTAGGAGCTATGTGGTGGCATCTTATAAGACCTCTAACATGAGTCCAATTTATAAGACATAAGTCTTAACTTGCAAAACAAGTTTCCTATATGCTTGCCACATTGTTAGTTTATATTACAAGCTATTTACACATTCAACATATGGCTAACTTGTTGGCAAAGTTCCTAACCTATTAATTAATTATAAACATGTATAAAGTCAAATATGTATCTATAAAGCTCTTAACAAGCTTTTTCAAAAGATAATATTGAATCTATTTATATTTATTTTTTATCTAAATTTTTTATTTAGGTAAATATATATGTTCATAATATTATACCTCTTTTTAGAAATAAGTTCTACAAGGAACAATCATCATATATTGAAGAAATCAAAGATGCGACAAATTGTATTTACTACATACTTTGATTTTTGTTCTCTTTTGAAGATGATTAATAGGTTGTCTTAACCATTGATAATATATCATTCTAAGATGGAAAGACTACTTTGTTATTTGATTGTTGTTTAAGCCTTTGTAACCTCCTTCAAACAAAACATTTGTAACACTATTAAGAATTGTTTCTACCTCGAATAAAATCACCAAACTTTGAAAATATTTTCTAAGATTGTGATACCAAATGCATTATATTGTACCATCTATTTGAAAAAGAATTTGTCATTGTTGAGAGTCTTTATCTTGATTACATCATCTTAAAAGCTATAACAAAGGATGACATTCAAACTATATTTCTTCACTTTAGAATTTTAGAAAAGAAGCCATAATAACCTTTGAAGCAAGATTTATAGCAAATTATTGAAGACAAAATTTTAATGCAACTCAAGGATTCTTATATTGCCCTTGTTTGAAATCACACATGCTGAAATAGTCGTCATCATACATTCTCCTTGTCCAAAAGATCATCATCCAAGTTCCAAATTACTAGCATGAAAAGGCTATATTTGTGGAATTTAGCATACTCATAGAAAGTGGTACTTGGCCAAATGTCCTACATACATGGACATATAAAGCTAGTTGCAAACTAAACAACAGATTAGACGCTCAGATTCATCTAAGCTTCAATTCTCACACACTTGTGCATAATTCTAAAGATCGGTGGAAAATTGCATTGTGGTTAAAACCTCATGTATTCGATCCCTACTACACATCTCCAAGAAGATCCCAACAACTGAGGATTCTTCTCCGCTTGATCTACTGACGATCTTGAACGCCAATTGGGTAGCTCCTACTCCGATGATTAGAATCTTCGATTAGGTTCCGTATAGAGAAGCTAGAGGCCTGCTTGTCAAAGATTGTGACAGTATGCTAAGGAGCAGATTCTGATCTATGCACAAACAGATACGGCTAGGCAGAAGTTGAATTAAAAAAAAATGCAAACTATGAATACAACTTTCCTGAATCGCAATTCACTCTAATCAATGCACAAGCAATCACTTCTAACACTACTCAATTTGGAGCTAATTACTCAACGCTAAGACTGTCCACACCTAGAACCTTTGGATACATTCTACTGAAACGATACGTGACTTCTGCAATAGGATGGTATCAAGTACATTATTCATAAAAAAACAAGGCATAGCATCCGGTTGCCAAACTTCAACATCGACGCAAGTGTCTCATGAGATCTCTTCAGTACCGACTTTCCATTCCGATTGCTGCAACCGTTGTAGCCATTGACCACAGGAACATCAAAGGGAAAGGAAAAAAACAAGGAAAGTTGACCTCTTCTTCGAATCCAAAACAAGAAAAAATTATGTAACGACCTTGCTGCAACCCTTCCTTTAATAGCAAACAGAGAACACACGATGTTGTCTGGTGACCAGATTATAGTCTAGGTGTAAATCCAACAATAACTCATGCAATATCAAGCTCCTAGTGCGAGCGCAAGGCAGCCAAAGTCGCACGCCATCGGAACCAGGCCGGGATCGAGGCTGCTGATAACTAGTGCCAAGACGAGGAGGAAAGGAACTGTTGCAGAAGGGAAGATTGACCAAAGACAACCACCACCACTCCCCACACAGTAGGACAGTTCGATAACCCCGCAGCGCCAGCAAGATCTTTGTATAGATCCAACGCCACACACAGCGATAACCGGCTTCTCAACGGTGGCACCACCACCTTCGTAACACCACGCTCCAATCGCATCACCAATAAGAAAAGCTCCACAATGATCACAGAAACAAGGAGAGTGCTGCACAGCACCTCACCAGAACAAAGAGGAAAAAAATGTAGCCACACACACGTACAAAAAAAAAACAGTGGAAGAACTCCGTAGCAGTCGAAGCCCCCGAAACACATCACATAAGAAATCCAGAAAAAGAAGAAAGCGATTCGGGGCGGCCCGGACCCCTATCGACGAAGAATCTGCAGGAATTCAGAGTTAGCCTCTGCCTTTTCCCTCATCCTTTCTTTTCCTTTTCTTTCTCCTCTTTCTTTTCTTTTTCCTCTTCTCATTTTCTTTCTTCTCATTTTCCTTTTTCTTTTTTTCTTATTTTCTTTTTCCTCTATTATTTGAAGACTGCTAATAAAAATGTTTATATATATTTCTTTTTCTTTTTCTTTTGAATCGATTTGAATCAAAAAAATTTCTTAACTTCCTATCTTAATTAAGAATCGATAACAAAGATAACTCTGATTGGACCACCATCTAGTATTAGCTAACTTAAAGAAAAACATATTCATCTTGGAAATTTGTCTTAATAAATTCTACCCTAGGTTACATATCCGCTATTAGCAGTCTATTTTTTCTAATTATTTAAGAATTCCACTACTAAACTCACAAAACGTATGTTTTAAACACAATAAGTGTATTTTTTGGTTTAGTGTTGTGTAGTGTTGCGGGGGGAAGGCTCATCATCTATTCTACTTCTACTTCTATTAACTCTAAACTCTAACTCTTCTTCTTCGTCCTCTTCTTCGTCTCCTGATCTCTGATGATCATCCTGCTCCTCATCCCCCCCCCCCCCCGTCCCCTTTTGAAATCATACTCATCATCAAATAATGCTCTTTGCTTAGTTTTTGAATTTTCCTCTACTGCATTACTTCTTCTGGTCCTCGTTCCTACCTTGCCATTCATTCATTCATTCCTTGCCTGGTTCGGGTTCCCATGGAGCTTCTTCCTTAGTTTGTTAGTTTAGTTATTCATCAAGTTTCAGAATCGCCTCGCACTCCTTTCCGACGAACGAGTGAGTGAGTGAGTGAGTGATGTCCTGGGGCTCATTCTTGCGTTTCGAAATTTGGTTGTAGTGTTGGTTTAGGGCATTTTCTATTTGTGGTGCATTGCAAGCTGTGATTTAACTTATTCTTTCTCGCGTTGGGTTATGCTTCAGAGGAGGGTTTTTGTTCTGTTTCTTGTTTGTTTGTTCGTTCGTTTGTTTGTTTGTTTTTATTTTGGGAGGTTTGGAGAAAGTTCATTTGTTTTATGAGGTTCGTTTGTGGGTATTGTGGGTGAAATGAACATGGGATTCTGGGGTTTGAGTGGCAGAGAGGTTTTACGTGTGCGTAAAGAGTGTCTGCCGTGGTTTAGTGAGTGACCAGGATAATCGTCTGGTTTGTCAGGATTGGAGAGCTATTGCAGTTAGGAGATCAGAAACTTCCGTGCGCTGTGGTGATCATCTTGTCATTGATTATCCCAAGGCAAGCAATACCTGGGCTGTTCCTGTTTAGCATGAATTTGTATTACGTCCTAGTACTAAACACAATTCGTGCGATTTGTAACAGGTAAGAGGGTCTAAACGTCGAAAACATGACTATCCTGTATGCCTTAGTAGCGAGGGGGACGGTCTTGCTTGCGGAGTTTAGTGCTGCATCAGGAAATGGAAGCACCATCGCTCGCCGCATCTTGGAGAAGATTCCTCCAGGAGGAGACAGTCGTGTGTCTTATTCTCAAGATCGGCACATTTTCCACATTATGAAAGCTGATGGCTTGACTTTTCTTTGCATGGCTAGCGATTCATTTGGAAGTAAGATATTTTCCTTGCCGTTTACGATTTGATTCTTCCTCATATTATGCAAACCTTAGGGGTTTTGCAGTTTATTTCAACTTTGATTGCTTTTTTAGGCGGAGTAGAATTCAGAAGTTCGAATCGTGCTGTCAAACTAAATGAGTGCTTATATTATTTTTTATTTTTTATTATTTTCTTATTGGATTTTTCCAGGAAGGATTCCTTTCTCATATCTTGAGGATATCCACATGAGGTTTATGAAAAACTATGGTAAGGTGGCAAGTACTGCCTTAGCATATGCAATGAACGACGAATTTTCCAGAGTTCTGCACCAGCAGATGGAGTATTTCTCCCGCAATCCAAATGCGGATACCATAAACAGAGTGAAAGGGGAAATTGCAGAAGTATGTCTTGTCACAAACCATTCCCAGATTGGGAGTGCTGCTGCCTGTGATACTCCTTTTTACGTACTAAATCGAATTGTTCCGTCTTCAAGCTAGTGTTCCACATCATCTGTTGAAGACCTCTGCATAGAGTTAAGCTTTTTTTTTAACTGAGAACTACTGTATCAGGTTCGGGCTGTCATGGTGGAGAACATTGATAAGGTGCTGGAGAGAGGTGACCGCATCGAATTGCTGGTGGATAAGACATCCACTATTCAAGACAATACCTTTCGTTTCAAGAAACAGTCACGCCGATTGCGACAAGCCATGTGGATGAAGAATGCCAAACTTTTGTGAGTTCTTCAATTCGTGAAGTGTATTATACAGTTTGTGGTTTAGTAATTTTTTTTAAAAAAAATGGGCATGTTTGGAAATAGTATGGTAGTGAATGCTCATCCGCGCATGGGAGATATTCTGGGAAAGTTGAACTATTTGATTTTCTATTTTTGAGGAGTTGGTGACTTCAAGCAGAATAGTCCTGCTAAGGTGATTAGGGCAACCTGAATCTATCATGAACTACAGTTTTGTATGTTGATGAAGGAAAGGTTCACTGGTGTTGCCTTCTCAAAGGGTATCAGTCAAGACTAAAAACTCCCAAAAGAAGCTAGATCTTTAGGTTTAAACTTTTATTTTTCTGCATACTAATGCAACGATTGACTGTCGCAGGGCAACCTTAACTTGTATCATCATAGTTTTTCTCTACATCATCATCTCATTCTTCTGTGGTGGAATTTTTCTTCGGGGTTGCCGAAGTTAAGTGTGTCCAACATAATTGGACTTACACTACCTTTGGACCTTCTATCAAGTATATTTGCATGGAGAAATTCTATGGGTCACGCGGGTAAACCTTGGTTCCCTTTGGAAGGATTCGCAACATGTTGGAAGGGTATCTTTCAAGCATTTTTAAGTTATTTTGATGAAAGGAGTAGAGCAGAGTTCGTGACCTTCCCAAGTTTTCTAGATTCTGACAAGTAAATGGATTCAGAGTTTGTGATGAATTAATAACTGTAGCGTAGTGATTTTCTCCTGTTCAGCGATTGAATATGCGAGATGAGTGCTGTACTGTAAGTGTATAGGCTAGGTTGATATAGATGCAACGTGGTGACAAGCACTCTCTAGTTTAGGGTGGAGGATGATTTGTAGGTTGTTGGTTAGTTCATTTACTAAACTAGATTCTCAAGTTCGATTGTAGGTTACAAGTGGAGATGATGATTTAACCAACAATGATTTACATGATCTGGTTCTGTTGTAATGATTCTACAACATCTTGTAGAACATGTTCAGGCAAAGCACTCCTTGTTTATGTACAATATTACCATAAAAACTGCTAAACAAATCAAACTGTATTCAATTTCATCAATAAGAAAACAGTTGAGAAAGCATGTTCAATGAGTCCAATCTGTAGATTGTAACAAATATTGTTTTTGAATAGAGCATGCTAAGATTCACTTTTTGAACAAATTAATCAAGTAAGTACTTTCTGTTTTATCTCTCTCGTGTCGAGTTTAAATAAAATTGTCCGAATGACCTTCCACGATGTGTGTTTAATTATCTATTTCCTTCTTCACGAGCATTACAAATACAATTTTTAGTAAAACCCTAAAAATGTTCATATTTTATTATGTATTTAATTTTAAGCATGTACATAAATAGAGATATGAATTTACTTTATGTTTTTTCTTTATTGTTATGTTTGAAGAAAATATATTAGAAACCCACCGTTACATGACAGATGTTGGAATTTCTCGAGTTCAGTTCATGCACTGTAAACTTAGTTGCCATCTGCATTTATTTAATAGCCTTGCTGACGAAGCATATTATTCCATAAACCAAATACGAGAGAACAAAAAGTAATAAGTACTGCAACTGCTTTTGATCAGATTCTGGAAAACAGTCAATTAGTCAACAGGGAGGAGAATCTTTAATTATACACTATTCCTAGATACTGAATGGTTGTCACGTTTTCTTGATTCGGTTTTCTGCCATTAATTCACAGAATTATTCATATCATTGGGAATGTATAGGCACACAAATGTATCCGTTTAAATCATCCCCCTTAACATGAGCTGTGAATGTGAAAAGATATCTGTGTGTATACATATTTGACTCTACAGCTTACACAGTATCGAAGGATATTTCTACTGTTTACATAGGGGCTGACTTTGGAGCTGCCTGTTACAAGTGCCCCTGTCGTGAAGGAGAATTCTGCGGTTTTTCGTGAAGGGCAGTTGCCCTAACCGTCGATTATTGGCAACATGAACGTTTCCATTTGATGGCTGTCTACATATTTTCTGCATGAAAATGGTTGAGTGTGTATATCCCGACGGGCACTTCCAGTCCATTCCACAGTGATTCGTTAATGTATAAGACGATTTTGTATTAAGGGAATTCCACATGGATTAAGCTCAGCAGCCGTCGAGGAGGTTTACTCTATAAGTTATTCGTGGGTAAGAAGCCATAGCTCAGCTGAGAAAGCAGAAACTGCACGCAATTCTCAATTGCGAAGCGAGCCATCATTACAAAAGTGGACGAAACTCTTACCCTTGTATATAGGCATTCATTTTAAGTTGCTTGACACTTCGTAGTACAGATATATAACATATTTCAGCATCGAACCATAGGTTATCAAGTTAACCAGTGGGTTGGAAATCTGCTGTCTCTATCCGCTGCCTAGTGCAGTTCTTCAGTCAGGTCAACAACAATGTAATCAAGATTTCCAGTCAATGGTTTATCGAAATTGCCTAACTCAGTTACCAGCCATTCAGCGTACTACCTGAATAATACAGTAACACGTGCACTCTACATACGCACGAGTCATTTAAAAACCTGCAAAAACAGAGTCACTTCAATATCTTGTTGACTACGAGCACTCGCAACTTTCGAGATAGAACACTGCAATTGACAATGCCCACCTTGGCGGATTCACCAGTGGCCGAACATGCTGTTCAGCTTCCTCGTGGTTTCATAACTGAAACAGAAACCCCACTGAATGCATCGGCCTTCAGAAGAGAAGAGGGGGAATAGTCTGCTTCGTAAAGGTGAAATCTTTCTCGGTGCACCTTCGTGTCCTCCCCTGTCTCTGGAGGTGTGGTGTGGACTGGGTTCATAGAAACCCCTTCAACGGCATGGTGATACCTAGGAACTTCGAAGTCGTCGCTGCTGCTGTCCAGAGAGGGTGCTCCACTAATGGAAATGCTGATCCCCACGATGTCGGGTGATGCGTCTCTGCTGAAAGGAGCAGTGGACATACGTTCCACATCGTTCAGCATAACACCCTTTGGACCCTTGCTGACTGAGAATTTCTTCCAAGTGTCTCCGTCGGGTGACTCGAAGTTATTCGAATAGGAAGTGACAGTCGAATTGGGTGTGCACAAAACCGAGTCCCCTCTATCTGAGTAAGTAGAAGACACTTCCTTGAATGCAGATTTGGTGTAGGTATCCACATTGGTTGAAGGATAATGCTCTTCCGTGGCATGGAAACGGAATTGACTGTCAAAGCCTTCATATCTGTTGTTACGTAGATAGTCGCCCCATTCCCCCCTGCTGCTAGCATTCGACCACCTTGTGCTCTCGGATGTATACATGTCCTGCCATGATTCACATGAATCGGGGGAAGATTCGAGAGAAAAACTCAATGACAACGGTGCGGACTGTATATCAAGAGACAACTCTCTGAGGGCTTTTGCAACGGACATAGATCCTTGCTGACCAACATTGTCGGCTCTGTTCGTTCCATTTGTGGAGTCAACTTCATCCTCTCCAGGAACCTCTGATGCTCTGCAGCTGGGAGGTGTGTCAGTCACGGATCCCAAAGCACCGAGAACGAGGGAATTGCCTGTGAAATCACTTGGACGAGAGGGCGGTGTGACCATAGGAGAGAAATCACGCAACTTCCCTATTGGAGAGTCTCTTGTTTCTTCTGCTACGGGTGAAGGACTCTCTGCTCTCTTTTGGTCGGACAAGGAGAGGTTCCACTCGTAAAGCAAACCTTTCTTCCAGAACATTTGCTCTGATCCAGCACTCTTACTTCTACTGTGCCGTGGAGCGGCAGACGCACACTCTCCGAGACCCAACAAATGATTAAATGACCCCGGCGAGATCTTCAAGCTAGCGTCTGTGTCGAGCGCACCCACGTTTCGACTACCTCTGAAGGATGACTGCCCAGTAAGCTCAGCATCGCAGCCTTCGGCAACCATCCATTCGACAGACGCTAAGGCTGGGACAGAGATGGTTTCCTTGAACTGTATTTCTTCATCAAAAAGTTCTGCACTTCCGGAGCTGCATAAGAATTCTCCCTCGATTGTTAAGATACCTCGAGGCTTGCATTTTCGTCTGTCCTTCACAGATCGCCCTTCTGGACCCATCAAGGGACCTGCACCGAAGCATCCCCCCGTTGATGGAGGTACTGAGCCACGCTTCAAAAATTCTGGAGAGCTGGTCGCTTGTGGAGAAGGGGTGTGTTGATGCAAGACATCGTCCTGCCGGTCCACTCCAGAGCTACCAAGGAAGGATCCTACTCGTGATCCTTCGCCGATTGCCCGCTTACTCAGCTCCGGCGACTTCGAGGGCTGCGGCTCAGGTGTCTTGCTGCCCCCGCTGAAGGACTCAAAGCAGCTCATACTTCCTCTAGAACGGAACCACTCCTGGGCCACGTTATCCTCCCGCAACTCCCAATTCAGGTTCGTTTCGTCTGCTGAGAAGCCCTTGCTCATCAACTCCGGAGATTTGCACAGCAGAGGAGATAATACGGCATCTCCTCCATACTCGTCCACTTTAGACATGTGGTCTTCACACATGTTCTCCATGCGGTACACATCTTTTCTGGAACTTGAAATCGCAGCTCCACTAGTTCGCACATCTTTCCAAATTTCAGGCCCAAGAGCATTTCCAGAAAGAGATTTAGGTCCTAACATGAACAGCTCCGTGCTGTTGAAACCCAACTCGGATGGGGCGTCCTTAACGAGAAACAGACCATCAACTACATCGGAGGAGCGATGGCCCATTTTAACTGCCATTAAATCATGAATGCTGTCTCTCGGAGACACGATCTCTGTAAGAGACACTATGTCACTACCATTGGCCTTTCCCACAAATCTGCAGCCCATCGGCATTGTCAAGTCCCGAAACATGGGAAACTTGCTCTGGCCATCAATATGGTTCAGCTGGGTAAAATTGAGATCCTTAGAGATATGAGGAATATCCGCCATTGCATGACGATCAATAGGCGGCTTGGTAGATAGGGGCGGGGTTCCTATAGCCGGAGTGGTGGTGGGATCTTTCTTCGCTTCGTGGATAAAGCGCTCATTCAAATCTTTCCGTTTGACTAGCTTCTCATGCTTTCTAAAGCTATCTTTCCCATAAGGCGTGGAAAAGGCTATGGCTTTCTTCACAGGGGGTGTATCATCAACCCCTCGCAATCGCGTCTTAGTTCCTGTGCCTGGCCCCTTCTTCTCACGGCCAAGTGACGACGGGCATCCCTCGTGTATACGATCCAAGGTTGGCGACCCGCGGGGACTTCTAATGTCGACTAAGCCCCGGTTAGTAGCTAACGAGCAAGGTCCATGAATACTATCGGCAAACCTTCGAGTGAGATCCACTCCAGGAAGCATTGTTGTCTTGGAGCGCGGAGTCCTCTTGTCTTTCACGCTGAGAGAGTCTAACGCGGGCGAGTGGCTGCGGGACCTGTTGTGCTCTCCCAGAGGCTTCACTACTCGCCGCAGTGATTGAGTGGGGGTGCCCAAGTGACATGACGTTCCTCCTGGAGTCTTCTTCTCCTTAGGATGAGAGTAGTGACCGGCGGGCGTCGGATGAGGCGGCGGCATCTCTCACTCTATTTCCAGCTGAAAAGTCTCAATGATCTTGCAAACCTGCGACACGTGCTGCCAGATTGGTCTAGTGAAAACAGTTCCGATAGCGCGTGGGCAGTGAACAACCAGACGCCAAATTGTGTCTACCTCCATACTGTAATCCAACAGAGTAACCTCAAAAGCTCCGACAGTGATAAGCACAACACACTTGAAGGCTTAACAGCAGCTCTAAAAACACAAGACTAGAAAAAAGGAATGAAATTTGACTGGAAGAAAGGGCGTAGTGCCCAAGGCATGCATCGACCCACCTATTCAAACTCGCCGCCGCTGGTCCACAGCGCATGTCCCAGACTGCACCAACCACGCGCCACAGCGCTCCCGAGCGCTCCGTCATGCACCACAGAGTGCAAGTTCGGGCTCCGTTACCTGATTCCGAAGGCTGCAAATTGAACTATGAAGCGACGAGGGAGAGAGAGAGCAGAATTACCTTCATTGCATGGTGGAGCAAGCTACCGATATTCCAGGGGAAATTCAAACTGAAACGGTCTCCTCTTCCCTCGCCTCGTTTGCCGCGCCCGTTCCCCACCACACCCATTGGGAACGCACTGGTCCCCCGTCCTCGTTCTCCCCGCCGGCTCAGTCCCCTTGCTTTTGAATTTCCAGAATCATGCCCCCCTGTCGTCGCTCCGCATGAGGCTTCGAGTTCCCCGTTCCCACACTCTCACAAAAAAAAAACAGGCATTGCGGGAACATCACACTCCAAAGTGCTCTAATTAGAACAACCCTAATGAAATTGAACCTAAATTATGGAATAAATGCACACACCGGGTATTACTCATTCTAGTAGCGCCTTAATAGTTCCTAGTAGACTGAAAAAGAAATAATAATGAGAAAGATAAGGAGTTGCAATGAAGTGCTAAAAGAGCTTCCACGTTTGTGATGAGTCCAACCTGTGATGATCTCATATCCATTGTGAATAAGCACATCTTTTTGGTTCAATCTGCTATGCATCCTAGTATTTTCCTAGAAAACTATCATATAAACTTTGCTAATGAAGATTTCAAGATCCAAAGTTTAAAAAGATTGTTTGTTTGTAAGTAGGGCAAGCAAGATCTAAGATTTCTAGGAAAATGACAAGCAAAACCTCTTATATAGACTCTATGGGTGCAAGGATGGTCCATGCTCCAATAATCTTGATGTGGTCCAAAAGAAAGAGGGGGCATATACAAGTGGGAAAAGATAAGACGGTTGAACCAAAATTGGTTGTTGGAATTATAAGCATAGCAAAACATGACAAGTTCTACCCAATCCGCATTGCATCAAAGGAAGTGTTGTCTTTTGACTTCCCACATAGTTGTACAAAATTTCTATTATGTAATAATGTACTTAAAGTTGAGAAAGACTAAAACATCATTAAGAAGGATTTTAAGTATTTCTAAAAGCACATAATTGTGACGTACTTCATAGAATATAAGCAAATTCCAATAATTATTGCCAATTGGATAAATTCTTTACAAAAATAAGTTGGAATTAGATAAGAGTAGGCCAAGATTTGGATAGAGGTTTTTTTCAAATTATCAATTAAGAAGCTTTAATTACTCAAAAATTCTTAATATTCATGCCATATAAGTCCTAATGAGGAACATATATTTTGTAAATGTAAATACCAAATTTTAATGCCTCATGCTCCTTGGACTTAAGTTGCTTACGTAAATCACCTTCAAAAACATTTCAAGAGAGTTTCTAGAAGTGGTTGCCAATATGGCAGGAGGGTTAAGAAAAGTGTTTGGCATTGATAAATATAACTCCACATCCTCCAATCAAAGGTTCTATATAGGTCACACGCTAAGATATGGATAGAAGACATCTTTATTAGTCATAAACATTAGCACAAGAAAGAAGATTATAATTCATATTGACTATTGTAAATTCCTCATTCATCATTAATTATGCCTTTTTACTAATCATCTAATAAAGGATTATAGACAAATTGCCAATAAAAGTATTGAGATTGTAGCTTTTTCTATTAAAGTAATGCTACGATGATAATTAAATAATATATGTTGCAATAACCTTCTACTTCCCCTCCAATTGGAATTAGGTACAATTCTATGATCTTAATAAGCACTTTTAATGACTTTGAGGGTTTTGAGGCATGTAGTGGTTCTTGTAATATGGGCCACTATTTTGGCAATCCATGCAATAAGCTATTCTTTGAACTCCTTATATAATGCTCCTAAGTGGAAATAGAATGAATAGAAATGATTGCATCACAATAAGAAAATTTGAGGTCCTTCACAAAAAGACATCCAAAGCTAACAAGAAAAGGTCATAGCCTACTAAAAGCATGACTATGTTACCTAAATGAATAAGTCTCCAAAAAGCAGAAGCTAGCTTCTTAACTTCTTTTCTCAATCATTAATAGCAATTCCTTGCCTTTGATCCTCACTTTATTAAATAAATGAATATATTTTTTTTCAAAAGGCTAAAAAATTATGTATCTAATGATTTAGGATGAATATAAAGTTGATCCAATTCAAAGAGCATGAATTAGGTAGAGGAAGGGAGGTCCAATCTTAAAATTGAAGCTCAATTCAAATTGCTTAATAATATCAACATCCTCTAATATCCTAAGCCATCTCTAGTGAAAGAACCTTGCAAAGTTGTAGATTCTAAAGGTATCCAAAGCCAATGCTTCCAACTATTGACTAATAGAGTCTTAAGCTTCTTATTACCTAGTTCATCTCCTCTACCTCTTCACTAAAAACTGATAGTTGTCAGTAACGAATAAATGGATGCCTTGTACAATGTGTCAAAAGATAGTTTTGATGCCTTGATTCAAATGGCCGTTCACATCAATGAAGTTGTTCTTTCATCTTAATCCATGGTATTTGGTAGCATGGACAATATGTCTATGGCTTATCCTTACTAATTTCTAATTTCAGCTATGCACAAGGATGTCCTATTAGTGATTTTCACCCTCTAGTCTTTATTGATGATACCCTCAAAAACATATATCCCAAAATATTTTCATTCATAGTTTATGAATTGGCTCAAAAAAAGCAATTGGTGCCTCTAAATGGACGTTTTTTCATTCTTGAGATAAGAAAGCTAATGGATCTTTAACTTCAACAATAGCAAGATATCTTAAAGTTGACTTGTTGTCAATAATTGATGATATTCCAAAAATCAATGCAAGACTTGAAGCAATTTGCAACCACTTTCTATTTCCTAGCAATTCTTCGTCTAATTAAATATAAATTAATAATAATCTCCTAAAATATTAAGAGCTTGAATATTTGTTAAAAAATCAAAATAGTGTAAAATTATTTCTTATTGATCTTGTCAAATATCAACATATTTTGTTTTTAAAAGCATAAGCTTCAATTGAAGAGACTCCTTATACTTGGTAATTTCATTTGGCCTTGAATAAGTTTCTTTATAAAGGAAGATGTAATAAACTATTGACATGATATTGATGAGATTGGAGTTGGCTAAGAAGAACTTAGCTTGTGGATTGATCTCCAAATTTTTTATTTAGTTACAAGTTCTAGTCATTCTTATTGTAGGTGTGCATACTAGATTTGTTTAAGTGGTACTCCAATAAAGATAGTATATTATTAAATATCTTTGCATTTACAAAATTTGAAGAAAAAATGGCGCTCTAGCCTTAACTTATCTCTAATCTTATCATAGACCATTGTTGGATGCTTTTCAGTAATTGGAATGTTGTAAAGAAGAGATTTGATAAATCAATATAATGCAAAAAAATCATGACTGAACTTAAGATGAGACTATTTGAGCAACTTACCTTAGGCTTACATGTCACTGATTAATTTCCAATCAAAAGTCATGTCAAATATATTTGAGGTAACAAACTAAAGAATAAGGTGTATATTCTCATCCATCTTGATTGGTTGTATATTTTTCAGTCAATCAATGTAAGGGCCTAGCCAATTATGGAATATTTGATTATAAGTAATTGTGATTACTCTAATCACTTCTTTGTACAGAAAAAGATATTATTTTAGTTCAAGAAATAAAAAAGACTTTATATAAAATGAATAGCCGCTACTTAGATGTAGACGAAGTGATTTGCAATGTCATCAATATATAGCTTTCAAATCTGATATTGAACTTCACTAGCAAACTACATCTTGCAATCAATTTTTACAAGGAATTTTGTATCTGTAGAATAAATGAATTTTTGCATATAAAAACTGTCCTACATATATCAAATTCTTTGAAGTAATAATTATCTTCTAAGAAGACTTGCTCAAATAGGCTCATCAACTCCATATGAATAAGATTGCAAAGCAATTGCATGTTTATGAATAATGACAAGCTAAAGATTAATGGATCAAAAATAGAATGAAATTACAAGAAGTTAATAATTTTAACTTGAAAGAATTTTTTATAGCTACAAGAGAACACTTGAAGGCATCATATAATATTAAAATTGCCAATGCTTATGGTATTATTTATACAAATTAGATGAGATTAAAGCAAATCTATAGCAATAACTATTTTAAGTTATATACAACTACAACCAATTTGGAAGTTCAAGCTAGTGCAATGGCCTAAGTAATGGACATCTTAATAGATGAACTTTCCCTAAAAACAAAAGAATATCTTTGAACCTCCATCTACATGAGCAAGCTAGATAAAGCCCTCAAAAAGATGTCAGTAGATTAAGCTTTGAGCTTTTGAAAGATGTTCTTAAAATTTTATAAAAAAATTGGAAATTAATTAAATAAGACTATCACTAAATGATTCTAGAAGTAGACAATAACAAAAGACCATCTCCTACTATTACTTTAAGACTAATTTTATTACTCTACAAAGAAAAAAAGTACAGAGACTTTACTAATTGGATGCCCATCACATTATTAAATATATCTTACATGTTCTTTGCCAAAATCCTTTGATTTTGCTTACAACCAATATTAATAGAAATAATTAGCTTTGACCATTTAACATTTTTGCCTATATGCTTCATCCTAAATAACATCTTCTTAATCCACAAAATCATCTACTAGGTTGAATATACTAATCAAACTCTCATTTTTTTTAAAATTAGATTCTAATAAAGTCTATGATATGGTTGATTGTATATTTCTATTTCATGCATTAGCGGCACTTGAACTTTCTAATGAATTTATTGCTCTAACTTAAGTATTTTTCCAAGACACTATACCCAATGTTAAGGTTAACATTGCAAGAAGAGTGAGTCATAGGTATCTCCTAGCATTATATCTCTTTGTCATAATTGTGGAATCACTTAACTTCGTAATCAAAGAAAGAGTTATAGCTTGCCAAATCAAAGATATTAAACCACTAATAGAAGATCAATAATAAGTGATAGCTTAGTATATTAATGATATCTTCCTAACCATTACAAAAAAAGAGGCATTGGCTTAGGCCACCATCTATATATTAAGAGGTGTTTTGCTATAACTTGGGAATGATACTTA